CTGTAGATTTTTCAATATAAAGAAAATATATTATTAGATTCACATAGATTTATAAAAGTACAGTAATTTTTCTTATTCATCATTAAATACAAAACTATGAAAAATCTGAAGCACACAGATCTTTATTGAATTGTTATTTTTTTGAACAGAGCAATTGGATACTTAAAAACCAAAATAATCTATAAGATTTCTCATATTCTGATTGCAATGTGATAGCCATGATACTTATAGCATTGTAATGTACTGGTAATCTCACCTAAAATAATCAACACAAAAAATAAACAACTCATTACTAAGCATTCTATATACTAAAAAACTATTATTTATGATTTGAGATACTAAACTGTAAAGCATAATTGTAGAGTATAAAAATTAATGAAATGCAATTGATTTTCAAGTTGCTTTATTTTCCAATACAATTAAAATATCATCATATCTGAAAAGTTATATTTTAGCCAAGTTTTAGTGATATCTCTCAGCTAACTTAATGAGAAATCAATTGATAATTGATTTTAAAAGAAGTCAATTGGTATTCCTTTTTGTTTACTAAAAACTTTAAATTTGAAGCAATATCATGTAGAACTAAGCATAAAAACTGAGAAGTGTAGTTAGAATAACTATAAAAGAATTACTAAAATAAGTGAAGTACAAAAGTAATTATAAAATTGATCTTGCAGTAAAATTTTATAATTACTAACAATTAAAATATCATCAAATCAAGGTAAATCATTTCATGGTAAATTTCTGGAATACTCTGGAAGAAAAGAATTAACCTAGAGCAAGACTTGAGTCTTGCTCTAGGCCAATTATTTTCTTCCTGCAATTCCTGCTTACTGTCAGATATGTTGCCAGTTATGCTACCTGGACTTCTGTCTGATCTTCACTTCCAGAACTATTAATTAATTAATTAGATATAACCATACAGGTCACAAATTCATTTTATAATTACATTTCACATAATCAGTGTAAAAAACATAATAATTATATCTTATAATTATTATATTGCTTAATAAGTTAATATATTTGAATTTTTAATTTAACAAAATTACTTTATTTCAAATTAATCTAGAATGTTAATAATTATTTTTAAAAATCTATAAAAGTTCAAAACATAAAATAAGATTTATTAAATATAAGTGTAAATTAAACATACTAAATATCAAAAATATGAAAAGTAACTATAATGCTAACTCTGCTAGAAGTTTTAGCTGGATTCTTAACATCCTGCATTAAAATCAATTAGCTAAAAATTGACTTTACAAACTTTGATGTTTTGTAAAGTACAGTAATTTAAATTATNGGTGCACACTCGGTAAGTAATCCTACAATTTTTTGTTTATAGCATAGTTTATACGGATTATTCCCAAAAAATTATACGTGTTTTGGAAATGTTGAGTCAAATTAGTCTAGAATTGATTAATTTTATGGAAGAAAACCTTTCAAATAGTCGTAGTCTGTAAACTGCACACATGCCGGGCTTTGATTGGCTCATGTTTTTAAGGATTCCTACAACGTGAAATTCTTATAAAGTGGAACGTATCTACCGTGTTATAGGGGAGTCGACTGTAATTCATTCACATTAATAAAAAATTTATTCTATATTAAAGATACAAGGATTATTAAGAAAAATATTAAATGCATAAGATTAAAGGAAATATTTGAAATTATTATAATTTTAACTGCAGACTTAAGCATTTCCTTTTTAGTTTAGAACGAATAGAAAAATAAAATACTTATCCTGATTTCTAAAACTATGTGAATTTTGTTTGAATAAACATTTTTGAAATCCTACATTTCAGCTTGATCTGTGAAAATTCAAAATTCAATTTTTGAATTTGTGCAGATCAGAAACAGAAATACAAGATTCCAAAAATATTTATACATGTTGCATATTGTTCTATAATTCTAAAAAGGGTTAAGTATTTTATTTTTTCAATTTAATCTAAAATTTATTATAATCAGAATACTATAATTGCAATTACTAATTGAATAAAATATTTTACCTTCATATATTTGGCCAGGATTATAAAATTCTGGATTTCCTTTTATATGTACTGACAACATAACTTCTTCCTCCATAAATCCTGGTTGATTAGTTTGGCTATGATATTGACATAAAAAGAAAAATGGTGCTACTACAGCATGATTCTTTTGATTTGTATGAGATATGCCATGAACTAGCCAAATCAGATTAATGAACACATATTTATAAATAGATGTATGCAAGTTTAGTTTCATAACAGATACATAATAATACATTTTAAAAAACTTAAAAATTGTTGTTTTCTTGCTTTTTCATTTGCAAATCTGTCAATCACTTTCTCCATATCAAGTTGGCAAGCTATTGTTTTTTCAATTTATATAGTAGCCAGAGCTAAGACAGTGTTGTAACATGCTGCTTCTTAAATAAATTTCGATTAATTTTAGTTTTGATAAACTTCATTCTGCTGTTGCTGTTGTCACCGGAAAAGTTAAAAAAATGAGGCATGCTACAATAATATTGGAGAAGCTACTTGAGGCTGCTGTATGAATTACTTCTATGCATGAATTGCAACTTCATGCATAGAAGTAATTTCTTTTACTTGAGTATAAAACATATTTTAAATCAAAGTCACTTGAAATCCAAAACTAAGTGAAATATTGAAGGGATATGCCAATTGTAACAATTCTGATTCTTCCAGAATATTTTTATCATATGATGCAATAAGATATGCAGGTGATAAGCACTTAAGAAGTGTATGTAATTGTCGAACAAATTCAAATTTAATAGTTAATTGATTAATTATTAAATCCAAAAATTTTTTATAAATGTTTTTACAAGTTTTTATTTTGCCTTTTCTAACTTGGCACCCTCATGATTAGTGTTTGTTCAACTACTCCATTCAACTATGCCTGTGAGCTGAGACCAGATATGGAAAGCTTAGGGCAGGAGGCCCCAATAAACTGTATATGAACTTCCGAATGCAAACCAAAAGTTACATTATTTCAATTCAAAAATTTTTCCCTGTAAGGAGTTAGATAGATAATGGCATGACTCTGTTGCTAACAGGAAAAGTGTGATGTACAGGACATGATACTACTAATTTGAGGTTGAGAGCATATATTTTAAATTAAATAAATTTTAAAAATATGATTAAAAATTGCAGCCCAGCATAGTGACAATGTCACAATAAATAATGTTACTCATTCCATTTTAATAATTTATTTTTCTTTAAATATGCAATTTTTTTTGTATAGTTATCTCTAAATTATTATGATAAAATATTATAATAAAAGTCAATCAACATGGGTAATTGATGATAAAAAAACGAACTGTAATTATAGTACTTTACAAATCAATATTTAAAATAACAAATAGTGATAAGAAAAAATATACTAATCAGTAATCATGAATATTCTATAGTCAAATCAAATATTCTATAAAATTAAACTTTTCTTCCTTCAGTTTGATAAAGTTATTTATCAAACATTTTGATGAGAAAAGAATTTGTTTACATTTATTCATTCATTAATTAACAATAATGTCAGAAAATCACAATAATAATAATAATAATAATAATATGTATGTAATATGTAAGAAAGTTAAATATCTACATCCAACAACACCAGGTGAAGTCAACAACATATCTTGAACATGTTACTGGTGTGATTGACACAAAGGCTAAAGTACATCACAAACATTTTCGAACTGTTCAAAAACATTTGCGATGTACTTTATCCTTTGTGTCACTCACATCAATAACAGGTTCAAGGTACGTTGTTGTAAGAAAGTTGTTGTTTATACATTATTAATGTTATCTCTGTTTGTAGATGTATTTTTTTTATATTATTATATACAGTCGACCCCCCTATAACTCGGGTTCATATAATGCAGATTCATATACTGCAGTGAAAAAATTGCAACCATATTCAAATAAAGATGCTAAAAGAGACTCGTAAAATGCGGTAAAACGTCACAGCCGACTCGTGTCACGACAGGATTGGTCGAATCTGGACCAATAGTGGATGAGCAGCCAAACTACTTACACTCTATGGAGAGTTTAGGTGGATAAGTTGCATTTACTATTGTCTGTACAGTATATAAATTAGGTACTGTAAGTCTAATACAATACTGTAATTTTATACATTTCTTGTGAAAAAACATTTCTTATTCAACGACCATAAAAATTATTTCTATTAATGATGTCTCCAAAGTTCAATGAATTTTTCGCAGAAAAATAACTTATTAGAAAACGCGCCCACCATTTGGTGTGCTGCTCCGTGACGAAAACAAGCTTAAGCAATGGCGTGGTCAAATGGTGAACACTCGGTAAGTAATCCTACAATTTTTTGTTTATAGCATAGTTTATACGGATTATTCCCAAAAAATTATACGTGTTTTGGAAATGTTGAGTCAAATTAGTCTAGAATTGATTAATTTTATGGAAGAAAACCTTTCAAATAGTCGTAGTCTGTAAACTGCACACATGCCGGGCTTTGATTGGCTCATGTTTTTAAGGATTCCTACAACGTGAAATTCTTATAAAGTGGAACGTATCTACCGTGTTATAGGGGAGTCGACTGTAATTCATTCACATTAATAAAAAATTTATTCTATATTAAAGATACAAGGATTATTAAGAAAAATATTAAATGCATAAGATTAAAGGAAATATTTGAAATTATTATAATTTTAACTGCAGACTTAAGCATTTCCTTTTTAGTTTAGAACGAATAGAAAAATAAAATACTTATCCTGATTTCTAAAACTATGTGAATTTTGTTTGAATAAACATTTTTGAAATCCTACATTTCAGCTTGATCTGTGAAAATTCAAAATTCAATTTTTGAATTTGTGCAGATCAGAAACAGAAATACAAGATTCCAAAAATATTTATACATGTTGCATATTGTTCTATAATTCTAAAAAGGGTTAAGTATTTTATTTTTTCAATTTAATCTAAAATTTATTATAATCAGAATACTATAATTGCAATTACTAATTGAATAAAATATTTTACCTTCATATATTTGGCCAGGATTATAAAATTCTGGATTTCCTTTTATATGTACTGACAACATAACTTCTTCCTCCATAAATCCTGGTTGATTAGTTTGGCTATGATATTGACATAAAAAGAAAAATGGTGCTACTACAGCATGATTCTTTTGATTTGTATGAGATATGCCATGAACTAGCCAAATCAGATTAATGAACACATATTTATAAATAGACATTTTTATAATAAAATTAATAAACCAGTTCATTTTCCTGAAAAACAAAATATATATATATATATTTCATTTATTCATTTTTTTTATACATGAGTTTATATTATTTTTAAAAATGTTATTATTAAAAAAAATTAAAAGATAAGGCATAAATCAAAATCATGTTTAATAACAACTATTTAAAAAAATCTCTAATTAAACTATACAGAAATTTTAACACCGGAATAGATAAATTACCCAACTTCACTGCCTGTAACCGGCGTTCTTCTTCTCCAATACAGAGGACTTTGCAAACGTTTTCGAACCTAATGTGGTTCTTCTTCAGGCGCTATGGAATTTCCTATATGAATTCGAATTTCCAGAATTAACCGTTGTTTTGGAAAATTTTTTTGGAACGTTGTCACTTGTGACTGATAGCGTCATTATAGACTTGCGCATTATCCGTATGTTGTTACTTTAGAGTTTTATTGAGGAAGGCTTCCTATGCTGTTGATATCTTCATTTCTTGTTTGAAGTTAATGCAGTTCTTCAAACAAGAAATGAAGATATCAACAGCATGGGAAGCCTTCCTCAATAAAACTCTAAAGTAACAACATACAGATAATGCGCAAGTCCACAATGACGCTATCAATCACAAGTGACAACGTTCCAAAAAAATTTTCCAAAACAACGGTTAATTCTGGAAATTCGAATTCATATAGGAAATTCCATAGCGCCTGAAGAAGAACCACATTAGGTTCGAAAACGTTTGCAAAGTCCTCTGTATTGGAGAAGAAGAACGCTGGTTACAGGCAGTGAAGTTGGGTAAAATCTCTAATTAAAAGTTTTTAATATAAACATCAAAATTTCTAATACATCTTATTATTCATAGAGTGAAACTCATCTATGAGAAATTTATCTGAGTTAATATTATCGACATATAATTTCAATTATTAAATACAGTCAAATTCATTTAAGAGAACACCCTTGAGATGGCTGCACTATGATTCCTTATCTGAAGTAACAAAATCACCCAAGACTGTTAATGCTATTCCATTCTTTCACTTTTTTATCTTAGGAGTTCTATATAACTTATAAAACACTTGAAAACATTAAAATTCATCATCACATAAGTTTATTGCAGATATTTGTTTTCTTTATATTTCTGAATGCTCTCTAATGGGACAGGCAGTATAAAAATTATTATTCTACAGTTCTATCTTAAAGTAAGATCATGTGACCTTCAAAATCTAGTTGCTAATTTCTTCTTGCCTTGTTCCCTCAAGATATGTCATCTGTGTACAAACAAACAACACAGATAACATGTATGTCATCTGTGTTGTTTGTTCATATATAATTTATTTTATAATACAGTCAAATCCCATTTATCTGGATTGGGTCTGGTCCTGTTTGATCCCAATAAACATATATTGACTCCACCTTTTTAATATGTAATTGCTTCTCATATGTGTGTTCAACAAAACCTGTTAATTATGATTCTGTAAAGACAGCTCCACACATTTGTATTCATTGATTGCTGAAAAATTTCCTTTTGTCAAAATATTTGCTCAAGTGTTTGTCATGTTGCTAAACATATGTACATGCATATAAAAAATAACAGAATAAATCAATACAATTAAGAAATTATCAATAATTTTTCAAAGGAATCAATTTAACTGGACAAATACAAATCAAAATAAAAACCCATTAAATTCAGCAACAGTTTTAATGAAAAAATACTTTGAAGCAACTTAATTTTTGTTTCAACTGTTTCTACAAAAATTAAATAAGTTTCAATATGTTTTACTTTTTAGATATAACAGATTTAAATGAATTTAATTGAAAAAAATTAACATCTGGACAAGTAGCATTTTCTAATCAAATCTTAATCGATGTGGTTTATCTTATATGCGTGGCTGTGTGCCATATTAATGTATATATTAATTTAGGTATAGTTTAAGTCCTCTCCTTTGTTCTTTGTTTCTTCTTCCTTCCAGAACTTTCCTTTCTAACTTTTTTCCCTTGGGTGGAGTGACCGATTCTTGGAACCACAGAGAACAATGAAAGAAAGGAGGCCCCAAGGGCCAGTGAGAGAAAGAAAAGACATTCTTTGGCTCAAACCCCGAGATGGGCAGATGTTGAATGTGGTGCTCCAGATTGCAAAAGGCAACGACTAGAGAATTCAAGAGAGTTTGAGAAGAGAACTGGATGGTTATTGTAGTTATGATAAGAAATGGTGTAGTAACTAGATGCAAAGAGAACCTAGTAAAGATGACAATGACAACAGACTTTTCAGAAAAAAAAAGTTCAACATGGTATCCCACCCAAAATTGTGAAGTCCAGCAAAACCCCAGATATTTCACTCCTTACTGTATTCCATTTTCCTAGATTCTATATTCTCTATCATCTTTATTTCCCTAGTTTAAGTTAGCAAGTAGGTATTAGTCATAGCTTTTTGGTCACTATTTATACTTGTTGCGAATGGTACATTTTGTAATTGTCTACCAAAATATTGTTTAACACCATATTGTAATAAATTACTGTGGAGTTGGAATCCAAAAGAACCTATTCACTGTTCATATACGCAAAATAAAATACTTTGTTTGACTATACTGTCGCTTAGTTATTGTTACATTTTTCCTTTGTCGATCTATGTACGTTTCACGTGAACATCACATATGAAAACAAAGTTGTTGCATTGCACTATAAACATAGTTTCAGAATAAGTAAAATACACTCTTTGCTTTATTGTAATTTGAAACTTGTAAAATATAAATTTAATTAAAAGATAAATAAATAAAATTTAAAATTATAATAAAATTATAGGGCAGTTTCTTGTTATTGAAAACTTAATGTCTTTCTGGTTAGCAACTGCAAGATTATATACATATACTAATCTTTCTTAGTAATTAAAACCAAAAAATATTTCCCTTTAACCCGGTATTTTTGGGCCTCTCAGTCCATCTTCAGGGATATGAAAACTATTCTGCTAAAATCATTGGAAAGATAAATTGATTGATATGCAAGATTATAAAAATGAAAATTTGAGATAGTAAATAAAAATTCATTTATTTTTAATCAATTGTACTTTTACTAGCATTAAACATTCTCACATAATCAGTTATTCACAAAATCATGCATTATTAAAATAAACGTTCTCAATTTTTACTTTTCTAGCTGTTATTTATAACAGAGAAAATTTTCTACAATTTTAATTATTTCAGGATGCATCCATATCATAATTTATCTTAAAGCACTTAATATAGTTCTGTTAATTAGTAGTTTCTTTTTTATATATTTTTAGTATCCATCATTACATTTGTATTCTGTCATAGTAGGCTGAAGAAGGGAGTGAAGTAATATCTTCCAAAATACATCCCGAAATAATTAAAATTGTAGAAAATTTTTGTTAATAAAATAATTATTAGCACTACAATTTAAAAGCCACACCATTAGCATATGACAAATCCTAAAACATTTATGAAAAATTTGAGCTGAAAGAAGAATAATCTTCTATGTTAAAAAGCACTTTAGCTTATTTTATTTTAAGGTTTCATCAGTTAAACGCTGTTTGAACAGAATCATTTAGTTCAAATAGCATTTAACTGATGAAGCCTTAAAATAAAATAAGCAACAGTGCTTTTTAACATAAAAGGTTATAACATTCTTCTGTTTGTACACTAAGATAGATATTACAATATCAGAATTCCACATATTCATTTATATTTTATATAATTTTAGTTTAAAACGCTAATATATCTTTACCAAAACTACCAAAATAACTTTTCCATTATTTCACTTGTTGAGATTTATTTTACACAATTTCAAATCACAAAGTATGGAATAAATTAAAATAAAAACTATTGATTTTATTCAGTCATAAAAATAATTATATGTATTTATATATACTATATTATATATTCTGTTAATGATAAGTAAATTTAATAAATGTGCCAGTGATTATGAAAGTGGTCTAAGTCAAATATGAGAAAACATTAAATTTATTTCACAAACTATTTGTAAAATTTTACAATTACACAAGAAAAACCTATTTTGCAAGAGTAAATATATTTGTGTTTTCTTTTTCATGATCAAAAAATACAAATTTAAAAATCAAAATAACTCCAAATGAAAAATGACTTAGACCACTTTCATAATCACAAACAAATATTAAATTTACTTGACATTAATAGAATAACAGAATAATAATATTAAGAGAAAATTTATAAGTGAATTTATTATTTATCAAATTTACTTATAAATATAATACAATTACAATAATTTCTTACAAGTGTCCAAATATTATAATAAACGTACACTTACATTCAATTATAAATGCTGCCAAATTAAATTTTTAATAAAATGACAAAAAATTCAAAAGTAGCATGTTTTCAATTCCATACTTAAAATTAATTTATTGAATGCCAACAATCTTCTACAATGTTATATCTGGCTCCTCCCAAAAGGAAATTGATAAGAAATTATTTTAACACACCCCTTTATATAAAAATACATTCTAAATATGAAAAAAAATTAATTGATAATAATTTCATGTACTACAAATCTAAAGACATTATAAATCAATATTAAATACTAAAAACTAAAGATAAATTATTAATTTAATTTCATATTGATTAAGAAATGATCTCAGAAAACTAAATTAAAATTTTATTTAAAATGATTAAAACATATAAATTAAATATTTATTTCATTTGTTATAACACTAATGTTTTGTTGTAAACTTTGTATATTCACATTTTGTTAATAAAACACAAAAAGAAAGTATTTAATTATGTGTAAAAAATATACAAAATTATATTTAAAAATAATAATATTA